TCGTTCCAGGATCATTCCAGGATCATTCCAGGATCGTTCCAGGACGGTTCCACCAGGGGATCGCTCCAATCGTTCCCAAATCGTTCCCAAATCGTTCCAGGATCATTCCAGGATCATTCCAGGATCATTCCAGGATCATTCCAGGATATCATTCCAGGATCCTGCGAGCATCAAATCCCAGGATCATTCCAGAATCTTTCCCAAGGATGGAATTTTCCAGGGTCGTTACAGGATCGAACCTGTGAGGATCAATACCTCTCTCCGCCTTTTGGCTAAGAATAGATCGAGTGTGGTACCTGTTCGGACGGATCAGTTCAATATCTGGTCCGTGTGGTCCATCGGGGGAGATCCAGGACCACACGGACAGGATCGTTACAGGATCGAGCCTGGAACGAGACTCCAGAGCCGTTCCAGGAGGGTTCCAGGTTGTTCCAAGTTGTGCAGGAGGGTTCCTCAATCTCAATGTGTGCCAGGACTAATCGATCCGGAGTCATTGCAGGGTACAGTTCCAAGATAGTTCCAAGATAGTTCCAAGTAGTTCCAAGTAGTTCCAAGATAGTTCCACGATGATGTGATGATCGTCACCAGTTCCATTCGTCGACAAAGCGGTGGATGTTCAACGCATGCGCGCCGCCGGCGTGATTGCTTCACACCTAGAAAATGAAAGGATGTCTGAATTATAAAAAATAAAAATTAATAAATTAAAAAAATTAAAAACTGATCGGATGGAGTAAGGGGGGAAGAGGAGGGGGAGGAAGATACACCTTCCCTTATAACTAACCATTGGGAGGGGGAAGACAGGGGATAGGGGAAGGACAAGAAAATGGAAAGAGGGGGGGGGGGGGGGGGGGGGGGGGAGAGGGGGGAAGGTACGAGGTATGAAAGGGGCGAAGCGGCACAGGATAAGGAAAATATTCCCCCGACGAGAGGACGCAGGTGGTGGGACCCCACCCCAATCAATTGCTCCCATAGTGGATGCACTTGTGTGTGGGCCTGTATCAATTGGATGGATGACATGATTGATGATTCGGTGACGTCTAGGAAATCGAAGACATGTATTACCCCTTTCGGCATTTACTGTAAGTTCCACGTTCCTGGTCGCAATTTCGGCGTCTTTAGAACCGCGATGATCAGGGCCTGCGTGGTTCAAAAAGGCCGAAATTGCGGTTCAAAAAGGCCTAATCTGGGCGCAGATACGTGGCAGGTGCATTTAACTTCCACGTTCCCACCAGACGATTCCGGTTCCAAACCGCCGAAATTGCAGCGCCCCAGTTAAATGCCCAACGCAGCAATCAAAAGACATGCACGTATTTTACCAATTAGATACTGTGTATGAATTAGATCACGTGTATGAATTATATGACGTGTATGAATTAGATGACGTGTATGATCGGAGGACGACGCGTATCAGTAACTGGATGACGTGCGTTAATTGGATGACGTTCATTAATTGGATGACGTGGGTGCATAAATTGGATCACACCGCAAACGGACAGTGAATAGACGGTCATTTTCCGAGAGGAGAAAGGGGGGAAGGGGGGGGAGGAGGGGGGGAAGGGTGGGGTGTAAAGAGAATTGGATGGTAGGTGTCTGTGGGCTGAGGCTGGTTGAGGACAAAGCAGTCGTCAGTTCCGATACCTAAGCTCGATCATCCAGCACCTGACCTATGTTCGCGACCAGGTGGAAGAGCTGTATCGTTTTAGGGGTACCAGATAAAATGCGTCCTTGTATGAGGAGAGTAATGGCGTCTTTGCGGCGGGCCAGCCACGTGGAAGAGCTGTCTTTAATGATCCTAAGCTCGATCAGCATGCACCTGACCTATGTTTTTCGAGTGTGTAGTGAACGGCAACCCGTGGCCTGGCTTTCCAGCGTCTTTCCTCCCTTTCTTCTTTGCCAGAGAGAAAGAAAAAAAAACACCAGTCCCTTTGGAAAAGAAATCAATTCCTTTTTTTTTTCTTCTTTTTTTTTTTTTTTTTTTTTCCTTACCCTTTGAGAGGGGAACATCCGCGTGGAAACGAAAGCAATTCCTCAACCAGTTACTCGATCATAAAACGGCAGCACTTCAACTTGAACTTGAACTTGAACTTGGACTTGAACTCCTGACCTGTTGATTGATGGATATCGATCCATGCTGCGATGGTGGGTCATTTATTCCGAAAATCGGTGGTAAAATATATACCGTTGATGAAGAGATCGACGGCGGCGAAGGGTTGATCGAGAGATCCAGGAACAAACCTACAGTACGATGCGCACACTTCGGCCGCTCGATCTCTTCATCAACGGCATTAACCACCAATTTTTTTACGGTTGTGATTGATTAAATTTGATTTTTTCTTACTTTCTGAACGACTATTTCTTACTTTTTTTTTTTTTTTTGGGGGGGGGGGGGGGGGGAACGAGGCACCAGCAGAGAGCGAAGTTGGTAAGACTATGTAATATACGGCACGGTGTTTGTGTGTTAAAAAAGAAAAAAAAGAAAAAAAAGAAGGAAGTTGGTAAGACTAAATGCCACTTCTCCTGAGGGGAGGTCCCACTGGCAAAGTGAGTGGATTGGATCGACCGCCTGTGGATGTGGAGAGATGCAGAAAATGGTTGAACGGAAAAATGGTTCTCCTCGTGAGGCGAGGTCCCACAAGCAAACAGTTGAATTTAACGCCTGAATCCGGACGTGTTTGTCGAGAGAGGCAGAAAAAATGGTTTACCTGAAAAATGGTTTATCTGAAAAATGGTTATCTGAAAACTGATTGTCTGAACTTTTGCCTCTCTCCACAAGAGAGAGAGAGAGGCAGGAAAATGGTTTATCTGAAAAATGGTTTATCTGGAAACTGGTTTATCTGGAAAATGGTTTATCTGAAAAATGGTTTATCTGGAAAATGGTTTATCTGAAAAATGGTTTGTCTGAAAAATGATTGTCTGAATTTTTGCCTCTCTCCACAACCACGTCCAGATTCAGGCGGTTAATCCAATCCTCTTTGCTGATATTCGGCATCTCTCCACAAACACGTCCAGGTTCAGGCGTTAAATCCAATCCACTTTGATAGTGAGACCTCGCCCTTGAGGGCTCTCGCTCACACTCGCACTTTCTTTCCTTCCTCTTTTTTTCTTCTGACTTATTTCTTTCCGTGACACAGAACCGATTGCAAGACCACCGTCTTCCCCCCGATTACAACGCACCCTGATCATGAATGTATGGGAGCTATCTTTCCGGTCCGATACAGCCATGACCCATGACACAGAACCGATTGCAATACTACCGTCTTCCCCCGATTACAATGCACCCTGATCATGGATGTATAGAAGCTATCTTTCCGGCCCGATACAGCCATGACCCATGACACAACTGATTGCAATACTACCGTCTTCCCCCGATTACAACGCACCCTGATCATCAACGTATAGAAGCGATCTTTCCGGTCCGATACAGCCATGACCCATGACACAACCGATATACTACCGTCTTTCCCCGATTACAACGCACCCTGATCATGAATGTATGGGAGCTATCTTTCTGGTCCGATACAGCCATGACCCATGACACACAACCGATATACTACCGTCTTCCCCCGATTA